TTGGGCACTAAAATGGCTCTAACAAAGTCCTGGAAAGGGCTAGAGGACTGCAAAAGGAAGTAAAATGTATTGCCTAAGTACTAATATACTTACCCAGTGGAAGAAGAATGTTACACTGTATACAATTTTAAATAAAAAGTATACAAACATAGCCAGGATTCAGCTGTAAGCATTTGCAACACTTACAACAATCAAGTAACACACATTCATATAAAATGTAAGTTACTTGGCCAGTCAATGTAATGATAGGAATGAATAAATAGATAACTCCCTAATTCCCACGGTATTAGAGAGCTATCTACTAAAAGATTGAAAGACCTGAATTGGTCTTTCAGCCAACTGTACTAATACTAAGTAAAGATTACTTAGTATTAGTAAATTATGCCCCTACTCGCTATACCGTGAGTAGGGGCATGTCTATAAAACAGTGAGCAGCCTATGGCTGCTCACTGTTAAAAAAAAAAAGGCTTCCCCCCTCCTGAGCCCCCACCCCTGAACGGCAGGTGGGGGCCCTGAATTAAAATAAGGGGGGGACCTATTGTCCTCCCACCGGCCCCCACCCATGAGCGGTGGGTGGGGACCCTAAAGTAAAATAATGGGGGGGAAAGCTAATGTCCTCCTTCCTGGTCCCTGTGAGGCGGGTGTGGGCCCTAAATACCAATAAGGGGGGGACCTATTGTGGTGGTGGAACTAAATCCCCATATTTATTCTCTTAGATAGGCGTTTTATAGTAGCCTTCTTAGTTATGTATTTTTAGAAGTCTGAGTGCGCCGTAACTATTTTTTTCTGTATAATTATTTTCTTTTTATGTGACTTTAACTATAGAATAGTTTGAATTGTTTATTCTATCACTGCAGATAAATGTAGAAAGCAATTTATAATAACTTGAAATAACATTGCAGAAGCTGTCAGATGGAAAAGGAGAAGTGACAAGAAGTCACAGTGATAAAAAGAATTTTAAAGAATGTTTTAAAACCATAAAATGTCATCATCTTGTCTGGCAATTTTACATAGCTTTGGCTTGATATTCGTAATCTGTGGTTATTAGTGATGTTATTAATTGAAATTACCATCCAGCAATGAATTACCCAGACGGAACATTTGATATCTATGTCTAATAAACTCACTGGGTGATCTTAATGGGACATTCCATAATGTATATTACCTGGTTCTTTAAGAAATTGTCACATCCTCATAAATATATCTTTGCTTGTTTGTGTGCTTAAGTAGACCCCAGGAGGAATGAAAGTATATCAGAAGAAGCAGATTATGGGAAATGGAAAATGGCAATAAATCTTCCCTAAAAACTACTATTTTTATTGAGTTACTATCAAAATAGTACGAAAACCAAAGAGAATTCAAATTCTCAAGCACCATTATAGAAATGTATTGTATTTGTTAAAATGCCACATTACTTATTTAATGGTGCAATATTATGTCTCTCACTGTACTATTCATTATTTCCCCATATCCAAGTCCTGAGGTACAGTTATGTTCTCGTTTAATGTTGCAGATACTTGGCTCATAAGTGCAGGTTACCCCTTAAAGGGACAGTACAGGCACCTAGACCACTTCAGCTCATTGAAGTGGTGTGGGTGCAAAGTCCCAGGTCCATTAGACCATTAGCCACTAGAGGACTTCAGGCTCATTAGGCGAGTTTTGGTGATAGTGCTGTCACTTGAATTATTTAGTTCTGACAATTCATTTTTTTAAATTTCTTTTAATCACATTAATTTTGCATTATTGATATGCACAATGCACTCACAAAACACACTTTTTTATTTTAAAAACACTTCAGCCTATTTAGCACTAGCACTATTTGATTTGTCTCCAACAATGGAATTGGTGTAGAAACCACTGATATTGGGGTACTGTGAAGTAGTGGTGGGCTTAACACTATAAGTCCATGTGGTGGAACTGAATCCCCATATTTATTTACTGAGATAGGTGATTTTAAGTAGCCTTATAGAATTTAGAAATGCATTTTTATGCGTGTGCTGTTCTTTAATCTGTATTATGTATACATTTTGGTCACTACAGCAGCACCATTATTGCAAGATGCATGCCCCCAAATTCCTTGTGGCACGTACTGACGTCATGCATCTGGTTGCGTGATGACGCAGTTCGCCTGGGCGGCTTCCTCAGATCACGTCTAGTGGTTGCTGTCCATTAGAATATATACCTGTCTCCATAGGCGTGGTAGCTTCACACATTTTGCATAATTAGTCCTGATACAGGCTTATAAGAGAGTCAATGGACTAGGAGGCATATCTCCTAAATGTCTCTTTATAAAAAGTCCACCTAAATGTAACCTTTTGTATCCACAGTAATTAAAAGTTTTTATACATATATTAGAAACACAAAGAAAAATAAAAAAACAATACCAATCAATGGAATAATGAAAGGACCAACATGCACTTTGACTGACAGGCACACACTGACACCGCCACTCAGTGACAGGCACACACTCTGAGCTACATATAAACTGACATGAACACACACTCAGTGATTTGACACACATCCTCACTGATTTGACACACTGACAGACATGCACAATCACTGAGAAACAAACATACAGACACATGCACTCATTGACAGACACACACTGCTGACACACACATTCACTGACAGACACACACACTAACAGACACACTCACAGACATACACTGACAGACCCACACATTCACTGACAGACACATACACTTACTCACAGGCATACACTAACAGACACTAACAGACACACACTCATTCACTGGCAGACACACACACTGTCATAGATTTATATTGACAGACACACACACTGTCTAACAGACATAGATTGACAGACACACACTCATTCACTGGCAGACACACACTCACTAACAGACATAAACTGACAGACACACACATTCACTGACACACACACCCAGATACTGACAAACTCATACTCACAAACATTGCCTCACACACTCACAAATTGTTATTTACAGTGCCTTGCAAAAGTATTCACCACCCTTGACTTTTTACCTATTTTGTTACATTACAGCCTTAAGTTCAATGTTTTATTAATCTGAATTTTATGTGATGGATCAGAACACAATAGTCTAAGTTGGTGAAGTGAAGTGAGAAAAATATATACATAAAACTATTTTTTAGAAATAGAAAACAGAAATTGGCATGTGCGTATGTATTCACCCCCTTTGTTATGAAGCCCATAAAAAGCTCTGGTGCAACCAATTACCTGCAGAAGTCACATAATTAGTGAAATGAAGTCCACCTGTGTGCAATCTAAGTGTCACATGATCTGTCATTACATATACACACCTTTTCTGAAAGGCCCCAGGCTGCAACACCTAAGCAAGAGGCACCACTAACCAAACACTGCTGTGAAGACCAAGGAACTCTCCAAACAAGTAAGGGACAATGTTGTTGAGAAGTACAAGTCAGGGTTAGGTGATAAAAAAATATCCAAATCTTTGATGATCCCTAGGAGCACCATCAAATCTATCATAACCAAGAGATAGCCGCCCACCAAAACTCATAGACCGGGCAACACAGAGACCTAAGGCAACCCTGGAGGAGCTGCAGAGTTCTGTACATAGGACGACATTAAGCCGTGTACTCCATAGAGTTGGGCTTTATGGCAGAGTGGCCAGAAGAAAGCCATTACTTTCAGCAAAAAACAAAATGGCACATTTTGAGTTTGCGAAAAGGGATGGGAGGGTGGTCAATGCAGGCAGCAAGGGAGCTGAAATCTTCCAGTTCAGCTCCCTCGCGCGCGACTTAGTGATGCTGGGAGCTGGAGTGACATCATATTATGGCTCCAGCATCACAACTGATCAGTGAGGAAGCTGAGGAAGCTGAGCTGGAAGAGCTCAGGATAGCTCTCCCTCGCCGTACACCCACAATATTAGTAGCCGCCAGCCTCTGGGGGACCCTGAGGTGGCCAGCCATCCAGCGTTTGGGTCCCTCTTGAAAGAGGCTAACAAGGCGAGTGCCAGGGTGCTTGGGGGGCGGCGATTTTTGCCACCCCCCCCCCCTGAAAGTGCCACCCAAGGCAAATGCCTTGTTTGCCTAGTGGCAAATACAGCCATGGCGGGACTGCATGTCATGTCTGCGTTCTCGTGATGTTGCGAGATTTGGTGCGTCCTTCTCCCTGCTGGGACAGAAAGAGATCTGGGACAGAGAGAGAATATACAGAATGAAGAGAGAAGAGGCAGAAGAAAGAGAGAATGGCCAGAATAAAGAGAGAAGGGACAGAATAAAGAGATCTGAGACAGAATAAAGAGAGAAGAGACAGAATACTGAGAATACTGAGATCTGAGACTGAAGAAAGAGAGAAGGGACAGAATAAAGAGACCTGTATGGTGACAGAATAAAGAGATCTGAGACAGAATATGACAGAATATGAAAAATAAGTGACGAAATGAAAAGTATGCTGTTTGCAATAAAATAGTTAATATGCGTTTAATTTTAATGGTTCAAAGAATGTCAGTCAAAATGGTCGGCCCTCACACATGTTCACTTCATCAAATCTGGCCCTCTTTGAAAAAAGTTTGAACACCCCTGTTCTACTGTAATGATGCTTTCTGTCTGATAATATTACTTGAAATCATTAAACCTAAACTGTCACTGACCTTTTAGGATTTTGTCATCTATTGAATATCTTGCTTAGTAAAAGGATTGGCTGATACTGCTGGTTAGTCCATGATGACATCAGTGTCTACCTCAGATGCAGGCCCAGATTCATGATTGCATATGTATATAGATACATACACACACTTTGTAGCCACGCCGAAATAGGAAACTTCCCAGTGTTCATGACCTTCACAATAAAACACATTGACAAGCATTAGCTTCCTCATTGTTTTATGTACTTGAGTTTTCCTCATTTTAACATATCAATGAGGTGAAAAAGGAACTGTGTGAAAAAGGGGAAAAACAATTACCACAGCTGTGATGTCATTACCACTATATAGCTAGTAACCCATGGCATGTCAAAGGAATTTAAAGCAGTCGGTTACAAGAAAACAGCATCTACTGGGAAACACACGGGCCAGTGAGAGACAGCAAGCTCTGCAATATTAATACTGAGAAGACATAGAGGTAGGAAGGTATTCTATTCAACATTAGAGTTAAAATGTACTGAAAATACCTCTCTGTCTGTAACTATAAAGTCTATATCTTGATCAAGGGTGGCTTACTTTGACACTAAAAGAGTTTGTCTGTCTGTATGTTATCTACTCTATTCATTATATATTGAAACTGCACCAACTTAGGCGTTGATTTAATATTATTGGATAAACTTTTAATTTTATATTACTTTACTTTTAATATGATACAAATATTTTAATTTTGTAATATTTAAAAAGAAATGCAATATTCAGATTTTTTTGTATTTGGTTTATTTTTTGATATTTTAATATATTTATATTTTAATATGTTGAAAAAAAAAACATTTTAATATTGTTATCCCACAATATTAAATTCAGGCCTTATTTAGGATGAGATAAAGTTGGATCAAGTCTCTTTTTCAGACCGACAGGATTTTTTTCCAACTCTGTTATTTTGTCGTGAGTTGGTTCATAAGACAACAAAGTTGGGGTTTAAATAATGCGCCTAAATCTTGATCTTTCTATAAATGTCTGAGAGATGCGAAGCACAATCTTAGATAGCCTTACACTTCTAGGACTTCTAGGAAATTAACTGTATATATAGACTAACATACATGAAGAAACTGGATAATAAAAGTAATTATTGTTATTTATAAAACAATGCATATATATATATATATATATGTATATATATATATATATATATATATATATGTGTGTGTGTGTGTGTGTGTGTTAAGGCCGTTTGGCCTGTATTTGTGTGAAGGGCTTAAATTAATTCACTCCCCTATATAAGGGACACCCCTTACCTGACTCATATCGCTTGAGGTCAGCATCAGAATGATTTCTACTTCCGGGTCATCCAGACGCCATTTTACCTGATTACTCCATGAGGTTTTCTAAGCTGAGCTGTGTCAGGAATCCAGCCACCGGCTTTTCCGGCCTACCACCTTCTTTCTTCAATCCATCGCTCTGGATGGTGTCCAAGTGACGCACAAACCGTAAGTCGACCTACCCGTTACGCCAGGCATCAGTCCCACGGCACCATGCACGGGTCAGGTCCTCACTTTACGGCTGCATTTTGTCTAAGTCTGTTCTAAAACCATTGCATGTTCATGCATATCATTCGTTTAAACTCACTTGTTTATATCTGTCACTGGCTCATTTCGAGCATTAGCATACTCCCAAACGGGAACACATTCTGTTTCAATTGCTTAAACATACTAGGCAATTCTATGCGTGCATTTCAAATCTCACTGCTCGTTTCGTTTTGTTTCCCTGACATACCAGGCTCACGGTTCGTGCAATTTTCTACCAAACGGGAACTAGTTCATGCATTTAATATTGTACTACACACACGTTTCATGCGTTTACAACCCACGAACAGAACTTTGGTTTGTTACAATGACTGTTATTAAGCTATTATGTTCACTTATTGTATATTGTCAAATGGGCACTGTTTGTTTCCCTGTCATACAACGATAATGCTGGGGCATAGCTCACGAACAATGTTTCACATAAACCACACTGAGCCCTACAGGTCACGCTCAAATCTCACGTTGACCTTGCATTTGGATTAACCCCTTAAGGACCAAACTCTGGAATAAAAGGGAATCATGATATGTCACACATGTCATGTATCCTTCAGGGGTTAAAGGGTATTTTACCATACAATCAGCATTTCTGACCCCTACTGGTCAACAGCAAAACTGTCTTCACATGTCATATACAATTACCAGCCAATATAAATTACACATAAGATTGTTTTAAACATAACCATAAACCATAAATTAAACTCCCGCACGGGCTCAACTTCAGGTTTAATTCACAATAATTTACATTTTACATCAAGGCCAACAGTGGTTCTATCAACACTGCCACCTACAGGTCTGTCAAGTACATTGACAATTTTCATGGGGTTTCACAAACACCAAAACACTGACCCCTACAGGTCAACAGACAAACAACATTTCACATACCAATCAGTATCAACTACACTATCAGCTATAGGGCACTCGGCAGATCTCCAGTGCACTTGCATTTTGCAACACCATGTTCACTGACCCCTACCATTCAATAAGACATACAACAATTCACATAGCAAGCACTATGTCAACATCTGGTATAAATACATATATTATTACACAGTAGCAGACGCATCTGTATATATGTAACTGGTAATATAGTTCACATACATTTTTCACAGCACGCTGCTCCCGCAACAGACTTCCCCTAGCAAGGGGACATACAACATACAAGGTGGGGACAGACCACATTTTCACTTGTACATACGGCACTTAATGGGTTAAGATTGATACATATTTAACCAGTATGGCTACGATGTTTAATATTTACACATCACGTCACTTTACTTTTCACATATACTGTACGTATTAAGATAAGCTTGGTCTATGCCATATTTCCTTATGCCATACGGTTTTATCCATTCAGGTTACAGTTACTACTAAAAAACCTATACGGATTGTCAGGTTCAATACCATACTGCCAGGTACATACACCTGCTCACGTAGTTATCCATCTCTTACCTTCCCTGGAATAGTAATAGTGTACTGGCAATTAGGGTTCTAGGGCCCAATAGGTATTACCCCCTTTTTTCTCTGCATTATGCTTCGGTTAGTGGTCCCGCGAGGCCAACACCCCGCCTCACACTCGGAGGCATACACCCCTCGGGCCACTCGTGAGCTAGCCGCCTCGCATTGTATCATAGAGAGGACCTCACCTGTCACTCCCCTTCCTATTTTCTGGTTACTGTCACCGAGAGGCCAACATCCTGCCACAACGTTCGGTGGCCACACAAAATCCCCTCGCGCCAAGCATAGATAGAGCCTCTCAAGCCACTTGGCAACTAGCAGGGCCTCACCAGTCACCAAAAAACACCAAGCCTAATCGTTTCGCCTTACGGCTTAGCTAGCAAGCCAGTACAAGACCCCTGGGTACAAATAATAATTGCAATCTTTATTGTTATTTAAGTATTTCTCAAAAAGATGGTGAAGAATCACCTCTTCCTGGCACCCCGGCTAGAAGTGATACATTTCAAGCAGAGGAAATGTGGCTCCGACCTAAGGAGGCGACAAATCCCCTAGCCTTCCACAGCAAGGAAAGCAGAGTTATTCAAACTCCTCCATACATCAACGGACAACACAGAGGCAGGGGAAGGCCCAGCAACACCAACTCAGGTGACACCCAGGCCATGCTAGCCTCACTCATAAACTCATGAGTCAAAAAATTTACGACAGACTGGCAATCTCGAGTCGGTCACCACAGCCCTCACAAGGCTGGGCCTCACGCTACTGTACAACTAGCACCAACCGAAACTCGGTTATCTGATACAATTCTTGGTACAAGACGTTAACCCTGCACATATGATCCCGGCACACTGGGGAAACAAGGTATAAATATGTATGATGATGTATCTATGATGGTCAGACCCAGGGATTCCAGGTAAATCGGGAACTGACCATCCCTTGGTTATGTTGGCATTTGGAATATGTAGAGATGCTTATTTGTGCAGGTACCCATACAGAAGGGATTTTCTCCCAAACAAATGGACGAGCACTCTCAGGCTCCAGGTACCAACACCTCTGAACTCCCAGAGACAATTGGTATGAGTAGTTGCATTGCATATAGACTGTTGCATATATGTTCAAATCATTCAGGGCACATGACAAACCATGTGTCCCAATACAACTTACAAATAACATACTCACCATCTGTACACACAATGCATTTTCCACACTACTGACTCATCACCCTTCCAGACTTGTAGTAGATTTACTAAAGCTCTGGAGCTTCAAAGGACTCCCATACAGGTATCATAAATACACCTTCAAGGAATATAGCATGCCCTCACTTACAGTCAGCACAACAGAACCATCGGCTGTAAACACACTCATAGCCAAGATTAGCAGAGGGGTTTTTACTTGGGTTTTCCAATCTCCACCATTTACAGCATGGCGCCAAACATAAACACATTGGTATTGTCACAAGGAAATCTTCCTCTAAACAAAGACTAACCATAGACGTATTGGCACCACACACCTTCACTACCCCAAGTCTCAACTCCCTCATAGCCTCCGAGGAGTTTCCTTACTATACACACCATTGATCTTCTTTTACAGCTATCACTCAAGCATGGGTTGAAGCTTGGTTAGGTAAGACCAATATCATCAACGCAGTAAACGGCTACCATCTACCCTACACACTGGCACTTACATGGCATAAAATGGGCAATCCTTTCCCCGCTAAAAGCAGCTGCTGTGGCATGGGGTAAATCATGGTCAGGGTCATCAATCTGTTGTTACTCAGACAACTAAGCACATGTCATATCATCAACAAATGCCACTCATCATCCATTCGATCATGGTATTGCTGGGGAACTCACTTGGTAGGCCACTTATCACATTTCTCTTACTTTCATGTACCAGGCGGGGGTATACATCCCTGCCGACAATTGTCTCATTTATATTCCAGGCATGTTCATCATACGCTTCCTACAGCCGCCCATACAGTCACGGCCACTCTTTCATTCCAGAGATAAAATCATGGATTAGACATACTCATGCAGCATAGCATGCACTATCCCACCTAGCACTTTCATCCCATACTTGTAGAACGCATAACACAGCTATTCACCTGGCTTTAAAGAATCTCATTGGAACACGACATAGCTCAACCTGTGTCATAACATTTCTCCTAGGTTTTGCTTCATTTTTGCCACCTTAAACTAAAACCATCTCACACACCATTAATTATATATTTTACAGGCATTCAGCAACACAGGATAACCTATGGCCAAAACTACCCTAACTTCATGCTATCATACCAGACAAGAATATACTCAGAGGTTTTCAGGAATCCATTCCCCCACGTTCCTCTCAGAGATTACCAATAGCCATTACCAATAGCCATCCAACTTTTCCATCCTTATCGGACCTATTAGAGCCACAACCATTCAATTATACTACCAAGTCAGCCATTACCAGCCATGCACACTGCCTTTTATGCCTTTCTCAGGCCAGAGAATCCACTACCATAACCACCACTCAGACAGATCATTGTCTTCAACGATCCCACGTATGTAAACACATATATCATTACCTGTTGGCTCTACCACATTCCAAAACGAGTCAACACGCACCAACAGTAGAGATAACATACTATCCTACCCACAACAAATGGTGTCCAGTTGCGGTCCTAGATTCCTACCTTCAAAATCCTTCCAGGAATTAAATACTGTAATGCATTTAAGGAAATATCTGGTTAATTTGTATATATTGTTGACTGTATTAAATCTTTGATTATTCTTTTTTGCCCTCTTTATTTACAGGCCTACCGTATCGTCGGTCTCGGCACACCACAACTGACTTGCTCCCTTTATACTATCCTACGCTTGTGCTGGAACCTTACTCCATATACGGCTATTTGCCCCTTACACAAATATATATATATATATACATACATATATATAGGAATATAAAAAAATACCGGCACTGGCTTTGTTCATCCGATTTATTCTTGGTTAATCCAGAGATGTCAACGTTTCGGCTCCCTAACATTTTTATGTGTCCTGATGAAAGCTCCGACCGGAAACTGAAACGTTGACATCTCTGGATTAACCAAGAATAAATCAGATGAACAAAGCCTAGAGTGCCGGTATTTTTTGATATTCCTTTATTGCTGTGACTTGGCACCAGGTATTTAATACTTTTTTTAGTAGGAGTGCAAGAGGTTTATTTGTTTGGTATATATATATATATATATATATATGAAAATAAGAGTTTGGCTGCACTCACCTACACATGCTAAATTAGGGTGCTGCTGGGGGCCAATAAGTATAGTAAAAATGAAAATCCAGCGCACTCGCTTATCTACTAAACAGTCATTTTAGTGCTGAACAATTTTCAGTTTTATTAAAAACACCTAATCTAGGCAAAAAAATATAATGGGGGTTTAGTTACAGTATAGGATCATACATTGCATAAGCCTGCCACAACGCCAATGTACCCCATCTTTGGCAGGTCCTACTCAGTTTGCTAAATGAGCTACTCACTTGGGGAAATCCTTCCATCTAGAAGTCTCTGCAGTATAATGCTTAAGATGAGGCACCTGTAACAGGGAGGGGTGCAAAACCCATGGAGCTGGCTAGACTCCTAAATATATACATATATGAGAAAATAAGGGTTTGGCAGCATTCACCTACACATGCTAAATTAGGGTGCTGCTGGGGGCCATACTATATATATATATATATATATATATATATACATATATATATACATATACAGAACTCAGTATGTTTGGCACTCATCCTAAGTGTAACAAACCAAAAAAATATGTACCAAGGTGCTGCACGGTGCAGAAAGTATATACAAATACAAAAATAAGAGCATAAAAAAATAAATTTCTAAATCATGTATTAAATGTTGCAAAGATGATCAATGTTTCAACCTTTCGGTCTTTCTCAAGATACCATCTTGATAAAGACCTAAAAGACAAACCGTTGATCACCTTTGCAACATTTATTACACAATTTTGAAATTTATGAATCCAGTGAGTTTTTTTTTTTTTTTTTATAATTTTTGTATACACACATACATTGCTAAAAGTTTCAAATTGTGATTGTGTAAAGTTCGAGTCCTGAGACATAAACGCTATATAAAAAGTATTTTTAGTAGATATGTCAGATATATTGGTAAGTATATCAAGTGTTAGGCCTAATGCATAATGAATGTCAGAAGCCATTGTTATATTGCAGTAGATATTATGTAAAATTGTGCACTAAGCTAAAAATCCACTGATTATTTCCTTCATGCCCTGGATGGTGGCACTAGGGTTTTATTGACTATTTATCAAGACCATTCACATGGAATGATACATGCATCTTCTTACTCCTCAATTATCTTGTACAAGGAAAACTGTGTATGTGTGTGTACTTTATCAAAGTGACCTACAGACAGATTTCTGAGCAGAAAAAATTTGTAGATTAAAATAAATAATATTGCACACAAACACAAAAAGAAATGTGATCATTTAAACTTGTGTCATGGCACAATTTGATGTTTGTGAACTACATTTCCCATGGTGCTTAGGCAGTCAGCTATATATCGTGGAACATCAGACACATATGCTATGGGTGAACATGTTAACTATGCTGAAATTTTAACTTTTACTATCTTTTTCTTTTTTGATAAACTAAATGATACATTTTACATTACTGATAGATTTATTTCAGTCTAGACTAAAAATTAGAGGGGGGGGGAATAGGAGAGTTGATATCTAGTTTACATGGTCAATACTGCCATCATTTTCATGCAATGTTGTTATTTTGTAGATATCAATGTCAAGCTTTGTTTTCTATTCTTTCAAAGGCTTTGTATACAGTTGTGTCATCCTCAATGTATAGCCGATTCTGCATTACATAGTCATTTAATTAAAAAAATGAAAAAAGTTAACCAAAACTGTAAACTCACCTTTGCAAATGAGCCAGTATGACTTTTCAGATGTTTCATTAATTGTGTGGACTTCATCATGGATCATTTGGTTTGCAGACGATGTCTCTAACACCAGTCATCCTTTTCATGGCCTTATTTGTTAATCCTCTGGAAGGAACATGGAAGTACAACTTCATAAAAGAAAAGAGTAAGTTTTGTCATTTTTTTCACTGTCTTATCTTTTCCTGGAGTGAATTAGCTGGTATGTTTCTTATACAAATAAATCCTATACAGTGATAACATTCATGTGTGGTTTGGAGAATGAACACAGGGATTGGTAAATTTGTTTAGAAACAGAGTTTGTAATGGCGAGCAAAAAAAGGAAATTATATGTCATATAATAATAATAAATATATATATATATATATATATATATATATATATATATGATGACTATGTGTTAGTTTTGTATCACATTAAACTAAACTTAGTTTTACAGTGACAGACATGTGAGTGCATCCTTATTTTGAAATTAATGGATATGTGGATAGATAGAAGAATAGAGAAGGATAGGATAGATAGACAGATAGATAGATAGATAGATAGATAGATAGATAGATAGATAGAATGATGGAGAAGGATAGATAGATATATAGATAGAAGGATAGAGAATGATAGAATAGAGAAGGATATGATATATATATATATATATATATATATAGAGAGAGAGAGAGAGAGAGAGAGAGAGAGAGAGAGAGAGAGAGAGAATCAACAGGGCTGCACTCACCTGAACATGCATACGTTGTAAGGGTGCTACTGGGGCCAATTCATACAACATAGAAGATCCAGCGCACTTACTCCTTCACTAAACAGCAATTTCAAAATTCACAGAATGTAATAGTTTTAGCTATAGTCATCTAACCTATGCAAAAATAATTGTGGTTTAGTTAAAGTATATGATCATATATTGAAAAAGCCTACTAAAATGCCAATGTACCCCATTCTTGGCAGATCCTACTCTAATAGCCTAATGTCTGCTATTATAAGATAAACTCTCTGCAGTGCAAGGCTAAATAGGGTGCTTGAATAAAGCACCTATGACAGGGAGTTACCTGTATAATATGACTAGCTCTCTAGCACAGGTATTCAAGGGATTCCCCACGTTACAGAACTAGTCTATGTTCAGGGAATTTCCCCCCGAACATAGATTTGAGGTATTCCCTGCGATAGTGAGCTGGTCTATGCTCGGGGGAATTGCCCCGAACATTGACCTGCTCTCTAGCACATACAAGACTTGGTTGTCTTGGTATCCATTCTTACTGACCAATTCGTTTTACAACCAAATCGTAGGAACGGAACTCGGTTGGTAAGTGCAGATCATCTGTATATAAATATATATATATATATATTTGCTTTAATTAACCTTATGACCTTATAGGGACATTTTGGCCACCAGAACAAATACAGCTTAATAAAGCTGTCCCTGCAGGCTTTGCAATGTAAACACTGCCTTTTTAGATAATAATGGCCGTAATTTAGATAATTTAAAGCATCTCTAAGAGGTGTTTTGCTGCGCATGCAAGTCTCTCAATGCTTTTCTGTGGAAAATCTTTGGATTGGCTGAGATCATCAAAATATATGATGCTATTCCTGACACTATGGTGTTCCTTTAAAGTAGCTTGTTAAATATATGCATATGGGGTATCTATTTTTAGATCATGAAGATACAGACAATACAATAGGCTATAAAATACTGATCATGTATAACTCATTTTTCTACTGTTCTATTCAATGTCTAGAGTTGGAATAATTATATGCTACATACAAATGCTAAAATATCACCCATTCTCAGCTTCTGTTGTAGAGGTTTGCAATGGAACAACAGTGAAAGTTGTGGAATTTGAATGTAACATATCCACTGATGAAGATGTCTACTGGGAACGTGGAGGTGGTATAACAAAAGGTCGCAAATTAAGAGTTGAAGTTAAGGAAAATGCAGATGGAGGAAACTATACATGTCACCTAATGAATGGAGATATTGTTGACTACAGAGTTATTTTACTGAGGAATGTTTGTCTAACTAGAACTCAAGAAATACCGCCAGGTAAATATAAACTCTGTTAATTTTCAAATTCTCTATCTGCATTAGCTTAAATTTACTATGTAGCCAGGTGATTTACAGACTGATGTCTCTGCCATTCAATGAATATTTAAACTTTGGGAGTTTACCAGGAAGTGATCCACATGACATAGTGAAGTTCAGAAATTGTACTTTCAGCAAACTCAATGTTGTAATAATACATCTGAGAGACTGTATTCTGCATAAGAATTATTAAATGAGTTTAGAGATTACAAATTAGATTAGAAGGAAACTGAATCAAACTTTGTTGCTCTTGTAGACGCTGTGTCAATTCTCAAAAGTAAAAAGCACCTATACCTCCTTATTTGTTTATCTATGCTACCATAAGGTAATATTTTGACTAAATTCAGGTCTTCATCAAATCCATGGACCATGGAGGTCAGACAATATGCATAAACATGCATGTGACAAAAAGTGATGAATTCATCAATCATAAAAATGAATTCAAATGCAGACAAAAAAATGTTTGCATTAGTTTTCAGTTGAATTGTAATTCATCAGAATTTAGGCTCGTTGGAAGGTTGTTTGAAGTCCGTAACTCGAAAGCCCTCATATGAAGGTTGAACCAAGAAAACTAATCGCACAATGGACATGTGTATTCATTTCATTTGTGACTGGGCATTCCATCTGCATTTCCCCAAAAATATAAATAAATAAAATAGATGATTGAGTGGGAAAAAAAAACACTTTAATAATATTTTGTTCACAGATCGATTGAGAAATGAGGAGCAGTAAAAAAACAAAACAAAAAAAACCTAAAATATATGTAATAAATATAGATTGATTTATCCTTCTATTGATTATTCTTTATCACTTGATCTGTGACCCAAGCGGTGCAAAAATGCACAACACAGTGTACTACAAAATATGTATATACGTAAAATGTAAATTTGTGCGGTACACTAAGTTTCCCATTTTCACACGATTTTGGTTTGTCCGAATCATTTTCTCTAATATTTTTGATCGGACAATATTCAGACAAGCAAAAAGGCAACATTTACGAAAGACTCTCTGTTCCTTCCCTTGATTCATAACAACATGTATAAATATGTACATTTTCATTGTAATATAATGAATTTTTTGATCATGTTTTATCACATATCCAACTAAGGTTTCGTTTCATTCACACTTCTAAAAATATAGAGCATCTGAGGGATTGCCATCCTTTATATTTTAATAAAATTAACACAACTGACTTGCTCATATGGAATCAGTGGTATATAACTTTTTATCATGTACCTAAATATATATATATATATATATATATATATACATACATACATACACATATACATATACATACACACACACACACACTACATACAAGATCCAACACACTTGCTTGTTCACCAAACATCAATTTCAAGTCTCACAGAATGTAATATTTTTATTTAAAGGGACACTGTAGGCACCCAGACCACTTCAGCTCATTGAAGTGGTCTAGATTAAGTGTCCCTTTTGCAGCACTAAGTCAACCTCTAGTGGCTGTCTACCAGATTGAAACTGAGCTTTGGTCTGGTATATGACGCTGGACGTCCTCACCCAGCGTCAGATGTTTCCCCATAGGAGAGCATTCATTCAATGCTTTCATATGTGGAGGTCTAATGCGCGTGCGCGGCGCTGGGATCAGGTAAGTAAATAAAGGGTTTTTAACCCTTTATTTACCCTGGAGGATGGGGGTGGCGCAAGGGTGTTGGGAGGCAGAGGTAGCTATAGTGCCAGGAATACAGCTGTGTATTCCTGGCACTATAGTATCCCTTTAAAAACACCTTACCTGGGAAAAAAATAACGGGGTTTAGTTACAGTATATGATTGTACATTGCATAAGCCTGCCACAACATCAATGTACCTATTCTTGGCACGTGTAAATGCAACTAATGTATTTATATATATATATATATATATGTATATATCATATCTGCCACAACTGACTTGCTCATCTGAAATCAGTGGTACATAACTTTTTATCATGTACCTAATATATATGCACAATATTCATTAATATATATATATTGTGTGTGTGTGTGTGTATATATATATATATATATATATATATATATATATATATTTATATTTATATTGATAGCTTGGAAAAGGGGTGGCGTGGTGGCACTTTCACAGTTCTTAGTGTGGGTGATATGTAATGACAAGAAATAGGAACACACAGGGAACAGTGATAGTGTAATATATCTTAGGGCTATTGATCGAAGAAAAAAGAAATGCACTTACATTTTTCAGAGCTACAATATAGCTCTCACTTGTCACTCCCTAAGCTTCTACTACTAGCCATAAAAGTGAAATCCCTGACCAGTCTGTATTGCTGTCTACATTCATCCCATATGTTGTCACATTGCTGCCACTGCCACCTCAATGCTCAAACCTCCTGAATTCGTCAGAAAAGTCACATTGCACCCTTTGCTTTACTCCTGTGATATGCCATCATGGTGCTGCCTACACTTACAAATTTAACTTTGCTCCACTTTGCCTACAGAGCTGCAAGAAGTGTCATCAGCAGCTCACTGAGTACGGAGTCTCTCAGGATTATTCACCAAAGTGAGAATTGCTGAGAAATCTAAGTGAATTCAAGGCACAAATAGCTGAACTGCAAAAGACCGACTTGGTGAATTTTTTTCCGAATTTTTTTCCAATTTAGTTATTTTGGCCTTAAATTTTAAATTCACTTTCAATTCCTAACAAATCTCACTTTAGTGAATAACTCTGTTTATGTATCTAGCATTCACTTCTAGAGATTCTACTGACAGCACTACTGTATTTGTTTTACTGCATCTCCAGCACAAGAGTTATTGTAGTAGAAACACACTGTACACAGTGCAATTGTCTCTCTGTATCCATCAAGCAGGACATACTACCCACAGTATTGCTTCCTGAACTCATGCTAGTATGCTAAATTATAGTATGAGCAGAGCATATTTTGAAACAAAATCAAAGAATCACTATAGTGACAGGAAAACAAACTTGTTTTCCTGACACTATATAACCCTGAGGTCTCCCCCACCCTCAGGGTTCCCCTCCCGCTGGGCTTAAGGGGTTAAAACCCCTTCAGCTACTTACTTTAATCCAGCGCCGGGCTCCCTAGGCGCTGGTGACCTCTTCTCCCCGGCCAACGTCAACTCCCAAGCGCGCGCATTCAAACAGTCCATAGGAAAGCATTTCTCAATGCTTTCCTATGGACGCTCTGCACGCTGAATGCGATTTTCGATTCCAGCGTCGCAGAAGCGCCTCTAGCGGCTGTCAGGAAGACAGCCACTAGAGGTTGGATTAACCCTGCAATGTAAACATAGCAGTTTCTCTGAAACTGCTATGTTTACATCTGAAGGGTTAAAACCTGGGTGACCTTGCACCCAGACCACTTCATTGAGCAGAAGTGGTCTGGGTGACTATAGTGTCCCTTTAAAGGAATTTAAATAGCAATCATCAGCATGCAATCCTGTGTCTATATCGTGTTGGAATAGACAACTCTTCCACTCATGTATACATATCATTGGTAGTAAAGATGTTAAAAATTCAAATATTGCATACCTCTCTATTTAGATAACGTTGTTATTTATTTTTCAATAGAATCAGATCTTGATATACAATGTGAAGCAAAAAACTGCAGTGGACAATTTAAGTGCTTCTGGGCTGCACCAAAGATGAAGATTACAAAATATTCTGCTGAGGCCGACAGAAGGTGAGTGTATTAAATAGTAAAATATGTTGACGTTTGACATCCATCGAGTTCAACCTTTAACAAAAATTACAAAAGAAATGAATGGCATGGATTGTTTTCCTTTGTGGTATTTTCACTAAACAAGTCATTCAGTCAAACATATGGTTGTTAACACCATGTTCAGTAAATAAATCCTTTAGTGCCCTAGGCTGATAATGAATCCATGTTTTGGCTACTGGCCTTGTTAACTTAGAGCAACAAATAACTGAGACACTGGGAAATGGAACCCATAAAACACACCCAGTGCATGAACTAAGACCTATGTTCTATGTGCCTGAAAGGTGTGTATAAAATGTAATACAATGGGTTCCATGTATACTGTGTCAATGTGAAAAAACTGAATTGAACTGAGAATTCACTAACTAAAATAAATTAAATGGAGCCATATCTACCCACATTTATAACAGCAATCACTATTGGCACTAGTTAGAATTTGTTAGATATCCTTTAAAAATGTTTTCATCCAAACAGCTTATTCAAATGTCAGCTTAAAAATATGGGTATCATTATGGTGGCGCTATAATGTCTTTGGATTAAAAAGATGACAACGTTATAAGTGCTAGGTACACTGTAGTGACACTGAAACTGCTGTGCACCTCATGCGTTTAGGGGTACATTACTTATAGGTAAGAGCTTAGTTTTAGTGGCTACGATTTAGGATAAGGTAATGGGATGTTTGTGGTTAATGGGGAATTAGGGTTATGGTTGTGAATGGATATGAGATGTGAAATGCCACTGCACCATTTTTCACATCTCTAAAGTCTCCCTTTCCAGGAGGGACAGTTCCTTGGATTACATCCTTCTACTTCTCTTTTCAGTCCTCTTTTCTCGTAGCTGCAAACGGGCAGAGTGCTTTATACTTGGAGGCATATTTTGTTCTGAACTGCAATTGGTCTGAATTTGGGCTGATTGGGTGGTCGCTGAAATTCACAAACTCCAAGCTGAAATAAAGCTGAATCACAAACCAAACAAAAATACACAATGTCCGAGCATGTCATTTTCATTTGTGATTCTGAATTCCGCCACGGTGCCAAAAGGAGAGAAGATAGGTAGGAAAAAAGATGATTGATGGCTAGGAGACAGTCACTAGAAGTTGATTTCATTCAAGTGATAAATAAAACTACAAAATTGAGGAGCAGTAAAAATGAAATAAAAGAAATCTATAGTTATATTTTATATATTTAATAGATATATAAAAATAGATTATTTACTGCTCCTCCTATTTTCCCCTGTATTATTTTTCTCACTTGATCTTTGAACCAAATGACAGGGAAATGATAAGGAAAATGCTCCTGTATACTGATCAACATAAATCCAAATATATTTATATTTATATTATGTGTATGTTTTGTATTACACTGATTGGTCCATTTTCATGCCCGTTTGGTGAATTTTGAATTGTTTCCGGAACCAGTTTTTCGTTGACTGAAATTAGGTCAAGTCAAACTGAAATTCAGCAGTCCTGCAAAAATGTATTTGCATAAAAAAAATAATTCAGCCAAAACAAATGTTCTCACGGTGCACATCTCAAGAATGAATTTAGATTAGAAATTTGTTTGTGTAAAATTTTTTTGCTCTTGTTCTATATTATATTATCAGTTACCTATACAAATATAGATAGATAGATAGATAGATAGATAGCTATACATACAGTGATCAGCCACAACATTAAAACCACTGCTAGGTGAAGTGAATAACATTGATTATATACTTATAATGGCAAGGGTGGGATATATTAGACAGCAAAAGAACAATAAGTTCTTAAATTTCATGTGTTGGAAGCAAGAAAAATAGGCAAGCAAAAAGATTGGAGTGACTTTGACAAGGGTCAAATGGTGATGAGAGCATCACCAAAACACTTTGTGGGGTGTTCATGGTATGCAGTGGTTAGTACCTATCAAAAGTGGTGCAATGAAGGACAACCGGTGAACAAACGGGCATCCAAAGCTCACTGAGGGACTTGAAGAACAAAGGCTAGCCTGCTTGGTCCGATCAGACAGAAGAGCTACTGTAGCTCAAAATTGCTGAAAAATGTAATCACACAGTGCTGCGTATCTGCTGCAGAATGGTCAGACTGCCCATGACGACCCCTGTGCACTGCCGAAAGCGCCTTCCATGGGGACTGAGCATCAGAAATGGACCATGGAGCCATAGAAGAAGGTTGCCTGGTCTGATGAATCAAGTTCAGTTGGATGGCAGGGTGAATGTGTGTTGTTTACCTGGGGAAGAGATGGCAACAAGAAGCAGTATGGGAAGAAGGCAGGCCGGTAGACTTAGTGTTATACTCTGGTCAAAGTTTTGCTGGGAAACCTTTGGTCCTGGAATTCATTTAGAAGTTATTTTGTCACGTACCACCTACTTAGAGATTGTTGCAGACCATGTACACCCCTTCATGGCAATGGTGTTCAATGATGGCAGTGACCTCTTTCAGCAGAATACACCCTGCCACACTGCAAAAATTGTACAGGAATGGTGTGAGGAACAGGACAAAGAGTTCCAGATGTTGCCATGGCCTCAATTAATCCGATTGAGCATATGTGGGATGTTCTGGAACAACTAATCCACTTCACAACTTTTAGGATTTGAAGAATTTACTAATGTCGGTGCCAGATACCATTGGACAGGTTCAGAGGTCTTGTGGAGTCCATTCTTCGATACATCAGAGCTATTTTGGAAGCATGAAGGGGACCTACACAATATTAGACAGGTGGCTTTAACATTGTAACATTGTGGTGTGTGTATATATATATAATCTATATCCACACACAGAGAAATAGAAAGGGAGGGCAAGAGGATTTATTGAAGTGAAGATTTTGCATGTACATATAACCCCCAAAAAAACAAACTATATCCACTTACATCAATACTTCCCCTATATGCAGTGATCCCAAAAAGATGTCCAAAAGTAACACCAACAAAACACCTCTCAGGATTCGCAGGTATGGGAAGGATAGTGAAGTAGGACTCAGTGAAGCTTCTTTTTTACAATGCTAGAAAGGACATTTAAAAGACACTGATAAAAATATAGAATATAAAATCCACTGATAAGGTGATTGGTATGTGCCTTTTTCATCTGGTATCCTCTGTCACAAACAACATATTTCATCACATCTGGTGACTACCTCAGGAGATCATTTATACATATATATATTAGAGCTCAAAATTTCCACTCATCCTCTTTTGCGAGCAGAAATTGAGCCCTGTTAAATCATTTCTATTTTTACTCAGACCTCAGACCCTGTGAGAACTGATAAGTAGTGGTAAGCAGAGCTTCTGATAATTATCAATCCACATACCCAGAGTCACAGAGAGAGTGAGTTACAGTGTTACAATATGAAGCTGTGAGGGGCTGTAATAACATTATCCTCTGACTGTCTGTTCCAGTCCGAGGCCCTTCAGAGTACTTTAAGCTCAAGTTTCCTCAAGGCAGAGCAGCCCCCAAATGTTAATTACTCCCCTCCACCTAGTGAAAATCAACAGCATTCATTTGAAATTTGAAATTGGCTCAGTCTGCCAGTAATATTGATTGAAGTCTTATTGAAGTTGTTATAGTGCCTACAGTAGTTCCCTATTCAAAATTACCCCCACCCCACCCACACCCCACAAATGTTTTGTTTTATTTTATTTCAGTAGTAACAAGATTTGGAAATGCGGCTTCGCCACCCCTCAAAGCCCTGTGGAATGGGAGAGCCACATGAGTACTGCCGCCACAGCTAGTCCTAGAGAATTATTGGATTCAATGATTCTCTAGGACAAAATCACTATCGGATCGCAGTGATTGGTGGGGGCGGGGGGGCCTGAATTTAATTAGGGAAAGGGAGAATATAGCATTAGGAATACACATTTGTATCCCTTACACCCTTGGGCCAAATGTGACCTGTCGTGGGGCCGTGCTGAGGGAATCCAGTGCCGCGGCCCTTTAACAATGCAACTGGGCCCCTATGATGATGTCAGCCAGTCACTTCCTCACAGCTAACATAGAGTGCTGTGTGGGAAGAGAAGGCAACAGTCACAGAGTGGAAGAGCTGGGAGCTCTAACTCCCAACAGCCACAACCAGCCACTGGACCCCAGGAAAGCAACCCTCCTGCATCTAAAATGTAGGAAACAGGAGGGTGGCTAAATTTTTTTTATATTTTGCATGTTTGTCCGTTAGTGTGTCTGTATGTGTATCTGAATGTAGCATTACTTACCCGGTCCTCAAGCCGGCGTCCTCTGTTCGCGCCACGCACGCCAAACGCATGAGCTGTTTGCGCAACCCATGCAGGGAAAAGAAATCTGACAGTATCGAGCTCGCCAAATGCCACGTGTATTCATGTGGACCACCCCTTAAAGGGGAAAATGCTGCGTGTTTTTAAGGGAAAATGGATGCAACTGGACCCTAATTGGTTCACGTCAGTCTGGCATCCCCATTTACGTACATTTTGGGGTTGCAGGCATGATGTGCACCAAACACAAAGTACCACTTAATATTTGAACCCATATGACCCTATCTGCTTTGCCCTATTGGGGTTTATGTTCCCAGTATCCTTTAGTGCATTTCTTGATTCCTTGTATAATATTCTAGTATTGATATTGGCTTTGTTATTGACCCTGCGTTTATCTTTAACCCTTTCCTGTGTTGTTTGCTCGTTTGACTGGTTACTGTGTACCTGACTCTGGCTAGTCCTCGTTTTTTCCGTCTCCCTGTTACCATAACCTCGGCTTTTATCTCTGTCTAATTCGGCTATTCTAAGGCCTGGTAATACGTTATTTCTTTGCTTCGTCCCTTGCTATCCTAAACTCTGTGTGTTGGGGTTTTCAACTTGTGACACTGTATGTCTGTATGTATGTGTATATAGCTGTGTCTGTATGCATATCTGTTTGTATGTGTGCCTATCTGCATGTGTGTCAGACTGTCAGTGTGTGCAAATGTGTATCTGTGTATCTGTATGTTTGTCAGAGTGTATCTATGTATCTGCATGTGTGTCAGTGTACGCACCTGTGTGTCTGTGTATCTGTCTTTGTACGTCTGTGTATCTGCATGTCTGTACCTTGTGTGTGATTTTCTGATGGAGTGGCCCACTGCAGAAAAATCTGGGACACCTCTGCCTTATGCTAGAGAGTCCCTTTAAATATAGTATAGGCTGCAGTGCTCAGTCTGAATTATCCCCCTCTCATTCTCCCTCCTCTCCGGTAATCTTGTGAGTGGGCTGCACTCACCTTGACATGCATAAATGGGGTGCTGCTAGGGCCAATTCGTACAATACACAAGATTCGCTTACACCTCTCCATTCACACTACTGCACTGACAACTGAAAAGCCATGCTGCAAGCAAATACATAAAATAAAAATAAAACTGTATGCATTTCTAGTGGTTTATTAAGTTTGGCTACTATGTCACAGTTTTTTTTGAGCCATATATATTATTATATGGGATATATTTGAATTATATTTGAATAGACAGCAGGCAGAAACCAGTTAAAACACACATGAATTAAAGGGTTATGTGGATTTGAATGTGGGAGAAGTTGTGAATATAATGCCAGTGTGTATAGGGAATACAAGTGGGGACAACTCCCAGTTTAGTATGTACTGTAGTGGATCATTTACTAGTCAGTTAGGCACTCAATGTGGAGTACACAGTTGGATGTTTAACTGGTACATGCAATGTACATTTTTTTAATCTGTTCTCCCTCTAGACAGTATTTAATACAATTTGTGACAGTGTGCAGAGTTGCATTTTACCCGTGTAATATATAACAAGGTATGTGATAGTTTGCTAAACCATTTTTTTCACAGACACAGTTAGTTACTAAAGTGAAAATTGTCAGGAATTCAAAGTAAACAAGAGCTAGGCTCTCAGACCTAGCTTTGTACCCTTGTCACGGGTTACAGGGACCATGCAGCCAGCCAACAGGATCCAAGACACAGAGATCCAATTTAAACTGACATACAATACTTTATTTTAGTTGGGACCAGACCATATGTTTTACTACATCAACCTTGCTGTGACAAATTCAATAAAATACAATTAACCAAATCATATCATAAAACATACATTAACTTTTAAGACCAGAACAACATATATATAAAGGGGTGGGGAAGACAATAACAACACAAAATATCTCTCCTGTCTGCAGAATTCGTAATATGCAAAATATGTACCTGAAAATGCAAATTAGCAAGTCTTGCTATTCAGGTAGTGCATACAGCCGTTGCTAGATCTGTAGAGTCTCCAAAGCCAAATACATCTAGTTGATTTCAAGCATTAGCAAGACAGGTGAGCACACTAACATTTAACCCCAAACAACCACATTAAGCACACAACCTGCACCCACAATGACACAGGGTGACTTAATTATAGGAATCATCCAGAAATCTACTCGAATTGTCCATCTTAAGCTCCTGGTGATGGTGTCTACCATCACATTCACTATGCTTTCAGTTCAGCTTTTGGTCTAAAATGTGAAATTTTATTTGAATTTCTTACAATTCTCACTTTAGTAAATAACCCAGTATGTGTTCTAGATGACATGAGAAACAAGTGTATTATATCAAATCAGCAGCATACTACACATGACTTTAAAATGGGATTTCAAGGGCAGTTTTATATATTAACTTATTGTGATGATATATATATATTTTTTAATCTTTTTCTTAGTGGCAGTCCCATCAATTGTAACGCTCCAGTCTCAAATAAGTCTCATATTGTAGTAAGCTGCCAGGACTTGGAAACCTGTGTCTACGGTGAAGAGGACAGTCACATAGATTTCACAGTACATGAAATTTACCAAAATAAATATGAGAATCATTTCACCTCCTTCATGCTGCGGGATATCAGTAAGTAGACATCACAACTCTATGAACATATTTTGTATTTCTTTTTACCAAGTGTTACAAATCTCAAATTAAATTATTTTTCATAAACACCACAAACTTAGTGCTCTAATAGTATAAATTACTTAACTTCAGTTAATATGCAGCCTCCCGAGATCGTTATCCACAACAAACGATCTTTACAAATGCATAGAACCACAAAAAAAAAATGGGATACGGCTGTATAATAAGATGATGTGAAAGAAGAGCGTTCATAAGGTGCCTGCCCTGATAATATGGGGGGCTAGTATTTTAAAAATATTCTGGGTCCACTCTTTCTCTTTAGTGTTCTGATAGTAGATAATAAATGTGATCTTACCCAGTTTCTATTCTTCACATGTCACGGATAGGATAAAAGATGCGGACTCTCACTCCCACTCATTTTCCCTTTTGTGGAAAATCCCTGATGTTTTGTACTTGCCAATGCGAAGCAGCCAATGGAACACGGGACTCCAGGTAGGTAATATTAAAAAATTCAATACTTTTAATTTTCTTTAAAAGGTGAAATCCACCATAAAGATAAAAATTTTAAATACAACAATAGGTCCAATGCGTTTTGTTCAAACTAGAACTTCCTCAGGGACCGCACAGTAATAAAATGACATACAATATCTCAAATTGTCAAATAATAAATCCTGAGTATTATTTTACAATTTGTGATATTGTATGTCATTTTATTACTGTGTGGTCCCTGAGTATTATTTGACAATTTGTGATATTGTATGTCATTTTATTACTGTGCGGTCCCTGAGGAAGTTCTAGTTTGACCAAAACGCGTTGACCTATTGTTGTATTTTTAATTTTTATCTTTATGGTGGATTTCACCTTTTAAAGAAAATTAAAAGTATTGAATTTATAACAGTATGCGGTTATTTGCGCTTTGGTTAACAGTATGATAAGTAACATATTCATCTGGGTATATTATCCAAAAATAGTGTAAAACTCAGGGAAGAGAGGGAACAGAGTGGGGAGAAACACATACAAAACTCCATGTTTCCACTTGGGAGCCCCAAAACGTCAGGGATTTTCCACAAAAGGGAAAATGAGTGGGAGTGAGAGTCCGCATCTTTTATCCTATCCGTGACGTGAAGAATAGACACTGGGTAAGATCACATTTATTATCTACTATCAGAACACTAAAGAGAAAGAGTGGACCCAGAATATTTTTAAAATAATATATATTTGTTACATTTACTAATCATGAGTAATTATAGGTCTATATTTAAACTACTTCAGGACTATTGCACTACGTATTGTATCAATCAGGCATTATGTGGACATGTAAATGAGCTATTAAAATATAATTAAAAGAGTTCAAAGGTTCAAATAACATTAGCAAAACAAACAGCCTTATTTATGTTAAACATGTTAAATTATTTATGGGTATTCACTCTTTTGATCAAACAATATACATTGGATTGGTCTGCAATGGAATATATGGGTGCTGTTATTACAAGTGGAACATTTCTTTCCATCAACTAGTTTGAACAATAATGCAAATAAGTTAAAGGAACACAAAAGTGTTAGGAATACAAACATGTATACCTAACACTATAGTCCTTGAGTGGATGTTTAGGTCTTGCCGCTGCTGGCATTGCCTCCATGGCTGAGATCTTTATGATCTCAGTCAATCCAATGCTTTCCCATAGAAAAGCATTGGGAGGCTATTGGCCATCCATGGCAAAGCACTGCTGTGCACCAATCAGCATCTCGGCATAGAGATGCATTGAACCAATGCATCTCCATTGGGAGCGTACAGCATTTCCATGCAGAGCTGTGAAAAGGCAGCGTTTACAGTGCGCAGCCTGCAAGAACAGGCTGTAGACACCAGAACAACTACATTGAAGCTGTAGTGGTTCTGGTGACTATAGCGTCCCTTTAATGTATGTTATTTTGATCTAATCAAGCTATAGGTATCATATTACAAAATTGTCAAACACTTAATAATAGTTTTTGCTAAAAAAAAAAAAAAAAAGGCTGCAAAGTGCATGTAATGTCAGAAGCCAATCAAATCCTAGGATTTGCAGAGGAGTTCCCAGCTTTTGATTTTGTAGAACTAAAAATAAAAATCGGACATGGTTATTTGATCCCCTAATGAAGCTCTGTGCCTAACCTGCCCAAAGTTAGTTGGGAATCTTAAAATCTGTTTTTTAAAATTAAAAAAAATATGTTAATTAAATCAAAACATGATATTAACATTTACTTAAAAAGCTAAACTATCTCAGCCTTTTTTTATAACTACTAGCCTACACATTTTGCTGCCTTTTTAAACAAAGTTATTACATATTAAGGAACACAAGCCTGAATTCCAAACGCTATAGTGCCATAATTCCCATTTAGATTAGAAACTCCACCCAACTGCAAAAAAAAGTAGCAAAATAAAATGTTTTAATTACGTTTTGTCCAGCAGCAAGACTCCCTCGGCAGGTGCTTTAACTCCCATGACATCATCCTCGAGGCAATTCTTTCTCGGCAATGGACCAATTCAATGCTTCTCATAGAGGAGCATTTGGAACTAGATGCACTGAACGCACATACAATGAAATACTTCTCATACAAACGCAATGAATGTAATGCTTTCCCATGAGCTTAATTTAATGACGTTCGATGGACGAAATGTCACATAACTGCGTTTCACTCCGCTGTTGTCATTTCTACATTTGCAGGGCAGTTTAAAAATTCTAAGCTATGCTCTTCTCCCAGTTTAATAGGGGCTCCCTTATTTGAAAAGGTCTGTGCTTTTAAACACAACTCTTGAGCATGGCGAGAGTACAAAAAATTCCTATAGATCTTATTTTATGTGTATTTATTACCTTGTATATTAGAAAACTTTTTCCATGTTTCTTTGTGTATGCGGACATATGTATATCAATATGCACTTCTGGACATGTCAGTCTTGTTATTTAATATTATCTTTTTTATTTTTCTAGCAAAGCCAGACCCACCCCAGGAACTACATAGTTTAGATGGCTCCTTAAAGTGGAAATATCCAAATACTTGGTGCAACTTTCATTCCTTCTTCCCATTGATATTTAATGTCCACGTAAAAAGCAAAGGATGGTCTGAGGTAATAATATATAACATATCTCTGTAAATAACCTTTAGATAGAAAAGGTGTGCTTGTCGGTGATATTCGGAGGATAATATAAAAAAAATAGCATGTATACAGTTTTTGCTTCCACTACTTTGTTTTTCCTGAACATTTTCATTTTTTAATTTCTTCACTGTATTTGCCATTAGTATTTATCACATAGTACTGATTTATAATTGGCCACGATCAGTAAAAAGCCTGGCTCTTTTCATGTGCATGCATTTGTCATTATCACTGCAATTACTACTACAGTGCTGACAAATGGATAAAAACAACAGACGCCCGTGAGATGTCATGGTACCAGTATACACTGCTCTTTCACTTGCATAAAGAGGGTTTTTTTTTTCACCTAAACATAGCAATAAAAGAAGAAACATCATAGTTCTCTTTTAACATAGACTTTGCAGGGGTTGTTTATGCCACCTATAGGTCTACTCTAAGTAACAAGCATATGCGTCACCTGCTAGCTCTTTGTACATGGTTCACACAGACCTTAATTAAGTATTATATATCAAATAAGTGACCTGGGTGCCATGTGTCCCCCTTCGTTTTAACCCTGCAAGTGGAAACATTGCTGTATGGTTGGAGTAATCCTTCTTAGCCTTATTCACCAGAACCCCAGTCCCTCTCCCCCCGTCCAAATGGGCAGCAAAGAGGGAGAACGTGACACCATTGGTTCTCTGGCACCAGCATGCTGCCCGAGTTGGCATCAGAGTTAATATTACCCAACCCGGAACTCTTGCTCTGGGCTGGCTAATGATGCCCAGTGACAGGAGGGGGAATTACATCTTCAGTAACAGAGAAGTTAAACTCTGTATGTGCACCTTTGCGTAGCAAAACTCTGCAAAAATAGACTCCAGGGATCGTAACCATTTCAAATCACTGAAGTGGTCATGGTGCTTGGAGAACCCCTTTCATTTCATATTTAAATGCAATGATCATACCCTTTTATAATTAGTTTGTTGAATGAATATAAAGATTTACCAGCAGGTGGCAACCAAACCAAATTTTTTAAACAAGTGAATTTAGAGAACATTAACTCCATGTCCAGTCTCAGCCATTTATTAGCTATTGATGGTATGTTTCTACTAAAAGAGATAATCATATCTTGGGTAAATGAATAGCAGTTTTTGTTTTTGATAATAGATGTCAATGAACAAACTGCTAATCAGTTAATTGATTGTTATTGTTAAGTTTATCTCTTGTAATATGTTCCAGCCTTTGAATGTTTTAAACCTTTGGTTAGTTGAAATATCCTCCTCTCTTGCCCCAATAAAAACACTATTATTATTTTCTTTCAGCATCATAATGACATCAAGAGTACTAAACTTAAACTGTCTAAAAAAGGAAAATTTAGTTTCTGTGTCCAGGCAAGAGACATGTTTTACAATTCTTCATGGAGTGATTGGACATGTTCCAAGTAGGTAAGAGTCTCGCATCCACATATCCACATAGTAATGAGAGGGCCCATGTGCCTTGGAATACCACCTCTATACATACCATACATGCCAAATGACTTGTGCTCCATAAATCAAAGATGTATACTTCTTTCAGAATCCTCTCACTTAATACATCTGACTCAAAAACACCAAAATTAAGGAGAAATAAAAAAAAATGTAATTAAAAAATAACAACAACAATACTAGAAGGTAGTTATATTACATTATATTAAAATACACAAGTACAGTGGTAGAAAGCAATATTTTTACAACAGCATATTTAGTAAATATATTAAAATGACAATGACAATGACAAACAGGAAAGATAAGAATACTAGTATATTGCCAATATATATCTAACTGATTGCAGTCAACAAGGTGCAGACAACAAGCTTGGGTGCTGGACCACTAGGAAGAGTTAACCCCTCTACCGGGCAGAGTTAGCTCGTTTACCAGTCAAGGAGTTCACCCCTTCTTACCCCATGGACCATCAGGGGTTTTTCAACTTCTTCTGGACCACCAGGAATTACAGCCCTCACCCTGGAACCCTGCAGAAAGATAAGCAGGAGAGGGACAAACATAGATTACCATTATACACATACATACACCCTGAGCATACAATATATACACATACTACAGACAGACAACACACACTTACTACATACAACCAGCATACAGCACATGGACACTTAATGCCCACAGAAAGTGCCCAACGCATGCACACTTACTACAGTCAGCTAGTACAAAACACGCACACACAGCTTGTGTGTGTACGCACATGCATACTACATACAGCAAGCACACACATCACACTACAGAGGGGAACAGTGGGAGAGAACATGGGGACTAAAGTTTGACACACTATGCTCAGGGCTCTAGGCAGGGATCTCAATCGTTTTAATTAAAATTGTTTTGTGGGTCAGGATGAGTAGCTTGTGATGAGGGGAAAGTAGATCGGACTAACCCATTGAATATATTTTGTAAAAATGTCCACACCCCTGATATATATGTATACTGCTAGAGGCTCTTCCTTCCTTGTATTTCTAATACTACAGTGTTCCTTTAATGATTCTGAAAAAGTTATTTCCAGCAGAGTAAATAAATCATGATTTACCTCTATTCCCTGCCCCACACCCTCCAAAAAAATTAAAATCTGTATTAATTTGCCTGTGTAATTTGGTCTAATGTTTTGGCAATACACTACCTGTTGCTCATAACTTCAGCCACTTCCCCCAAAATAAAATATGCTATTTATTTTTATTTTACAGACCCATTGAAAAAAATGACAATAAGCAAAAATCAAATAATAAAAAAATTAAAGGAAAGAAAAATCGACATAACCGCCACCTACGTGAACCTGAAAATCTTGCCTGGATTTGAAACCTCTTTCAGCTATCTCTCATCATTCTCTGAATTCTATCATTGTCTTTTTTTATCCTCTAAGCAAATGTATTTATAATCTGTCACCCCAAAATTGCACAATACCTCTGATTTAGAACAGCTAAGGTAATCTATCCCCGGTCATTTCCATTAAGACATCTATGCACCAATATGGATAGCCTGCAAAGATAACCAGTTGGTGGGTTCTCCTGTCAAGCGTGACAAACGTTCTAATTAACATGCATTATGACTGTATTTAGCCATTACATAGCTTGCTATAATTGTATCATAAATAGTGGCGATTTTCAGCACCATGTCACCAGACCAAAAGAGTGGTAGTTGAAGAAGATAGCTGTCTTCCTCTATGTAGTTTATTCAGTGGAACATGGTGTATAGTGGAATATAATTTCAATTTATTAAATGTAAACATAAAAATACCTTGATATTTAATGACTGGGGCAAATTGCAGAGCCAAATTGACAATAGCACACAGTCAATAGGAATAAAAATAAAAACACCTCTCAAATAAAATGTAAAATGCTTTCTAAGCAAGCTTACGCAGGAAGACAAGAGGATATAATCAATAATTGGTAGTGAAAACATATCCAAAACAAGTGGATTATGGCAAAAAATTGGCCAGGTATATTTGGATATTAAAACTAAACTAAACCAAGCTACATCCTATGGTGGTCGTGGTGACCCCTGTTAGGGAACATAGACATCAATGGTGTTCTTCACTTCTTGTTGCACAAAACAGTAAGAACAGAAATGAATGCTTAATGCGTAATTTAGAGCAAATGGTGCATTTTTTTTTTAAAACCACCACTAGCAGTTTCTAGGGTTCCTTATAGGGACTTTTTTTTTTTTTTTGTAAGTAAATTATTTCTGAATCAGTTATGTAATTAATTAGTCACAGCCACCAGTTTGGGGGAAAAAATGCACTTGATACAAACTGTGGGGAGTGTTAGTTAATTAAATATTTTTTCAGAACAGATTCAGGTTGTTTTACTCACAAAATAAGGATAATGCTACAACATATTTTTTCTTTCTTTTTTTCTACCATTTATTTTGCACAATACGGGTCAAATGCCCTCTATGTGGATTTTATTCATAAACAACAGCTCTTGTAGAGCTATGTTGAAGTATACTTGTCATAATGACTAGCCTTCTCGGGTTTATTATGCATTAATATATTTTATATTGAGTGGACGTTTTGTGAAAGGAGATTGGTTTGTAGGGTTTGATTAATTCTGAAATATTTTCTCATCCTCATCTGAAGCTTGAACTTCATCACTGAGAATTAAATTGTCCCTAAAGTATATATGAAGCTATAATATTTTCTAGAAGAATTGTAAATCCCTAAGATGAAAGTTTTCATTTAATATATGTAATAAATGATGCATCCGATTTCTCAGTAACTAAAACAAATATGGTTACCCAGGTATGAGTATAACAAAATATTTAATTCCTTAACTTCTTTGTGTTACCACGTTTTTATGTAGGGATGGTTTTGTATTTCAGTATATTTATTTATTGTAATCATTTCTACTATTGACTTATTTTGTGTGATGATCCACAGTAAATTATTATTGTGTTATTTTGTGGAAAGAGAAAATGTGAACCTAGTTATTTTGTTATCAATTGGCATGTTAAGTCTGTCAGTGGTTTGGTACCAAGCGAAGGAATCGATTAGCTCCCATCCATCATCTTCTGGGTGTGACCTGGTATGTCCTTATAGTGCATGTGACTTGGACACAGTATCTGTGATCCTTTGCACTTGCTCAGGGCTATTTTCCTGCACCCTCCCATATATACACAAATAAAAGACTATGTGCTGCCATCAACCAACGGGTCTGGCTGTTTATTTACTAATCATATGTTTTAAAATGAAGTGTTGATTAAGACAATTTTCTTCGCTATAAAAGTAAAGACATTCCCTATGCCAATTGTTTTAAGAGGGAAAAAAATATGAACAATATATGGATTCGTTGGCTCCATCAGTGCATCATTTATAACAATGTCTTCACACATCATTCATGCCATTGTGAATTCCTACCGCCATCGCCCCATATTTCACATACACATTTAACAAAATATGGCTTCTGATCAACAGTTTTGTGTGCACTTGGATAATGTTACATATAAAACAGTGGACTCTATTCCATTACCTAGCATTTTAGATGGTAAACTTTGGCAAGTTATGAAATCTAAGATTAATTCAATCTATCAAAATATTTAATAGCAGACTGCAGAGAGCGAGTATGTGGGAGACCGTGCTGTCAAGCGCACAATTCTCCTCCACCCCAACACTAGGAAAAAGGGGCAGAGTGGACTCACTTAAATTTCCTTTCTGTGCAGTGTGTCACTATGTTGTTAATTAGGCTGGTGTGTGGCAAGTTATGCAAGGATAATTATGTATGTATGTATGTCTACTTAAATCTATGTAAGTGACTGCAATGTATGTGTTGTTAACAATATGTGTGTTTGTGTGAACAAGAGTGGCCCAGCAAATATATCCCCCAGGGCCACAGAAATTGTAACGGTGACCATGTCCACGTCTGTGTTTCCTAACAATAGCAAACATCAGTGGATGTTTAGTCTGCTCTAACAATATTTTTGCATTGCCCATTTGTTTTGCATTATGTCACCAGATTCTGGTGGTCTAATCTAAAATTCAGGTCTGCATATTGTTCTGTTTTTATCACTGTCTTTAAGTAACAACATCAGAGAGAGTAGTAAGGCCTCTTCAATTGCTTGTTGTTTCCCACCCATGTATATCTATAGGTTTATGGTGTTGAACAGGCATGATGTATCAGAGTCAAAAGTTGAGTACATGGAGTTAAGTTGACAGTCTAACAAATCAAGGGGCAAAGTCAAATTCTGGATCTAGCACCCCACTATCTTTAAACTTCACCAGCCCACATTACCACCATTGCAAAATTCCTGCTGTGTACGCATTTACTGGTCTTATTTCTCAGTTCACCAGTTGCCAGGATGCAAGCCTTTTTTTCCTCCTACATTGCTTTTAGAAATGTATTTCACAGATGCTGGCATCCCATGCTATATTAAAATAATGAATCCTAAGTTTTAAAGGGACACTATAGTCACCAAAACAACTTTAGCTTAATGAAGCAGTTTTGGTTTATAGATCATGCCCCTGTAGTCTCACTTTTCAATTATCTGCCATTAAGGAGTTAAATCACTTTGTTAATGCAACCCTAGGCTCACCTCCTTGCATGTGACTTACACAGCCTTCCTACACACTTCCTGTGAAGAGTCATCTAATGTTTATACTTCCTTTATTGCACATTCTGTTTAATTTAGAATTTCTTATCTCCTGCTCTGTTAACTGCTTGCTCAACCCTGCAAGAGCCTCCTGTATGTAATTAAAGTTCAATTTACAGAGCAGGATATAAACACTTTTAAAGTAAGTTACGTCTGATTGAAAGTAAAACCATTTTGTTTTCATGCAGGTTTTGTCAGTCACAGCCAGGGGAGCTGTGTCTAGGGCTGCATAAACAAAATCAAAAGTAAATTAACTCGTAAATGGCAGTGAATTGAGCAGTGAAACTTCAGAGGCATATCTATACACAAATACTGCTTCGTTAAGATAAAGTTGTTTTGGTGACTATTGTGTCCCTTTAAGATTTATTGGTTGTAATTCCTTTGATGTTGTGGTTATAATGCATTGATGAACTGGGAGCTATTATCAAACATAGAGAACAGTTGCTAAAATTGATTATTTTGTAGATAAAGCAGATGTGGAAAGATGCTTTCTGCATGGTCTTATGTGAGTCAGGTCAGCAAGGAGCATGTCGCCATCTTAAAGGATTTTGCTGCGGACAGGGCCTGCTCTGGGCGAGCTGTTGGCGGTCGGTCAAGGTACGTGTAGTGGGTCAGTGGGGTATGAGATAACCCCTGCCGGTCCAAAGGTGAGAGGGACAGCATTGGATGGGGACCACACCTTCGGCTTGTGAACTGGGAGAGCGGCAGTCTCCCCACAGTTCCAGCACGTGTAGGCCACAAGCCTCGAGTCGGGCGATTCAGCGTAGGAGAAGCTCACTAAAGGTATCCCCAGGTACAGTGTTGTCCCGTGAGCAAGATGTATGCTGGCTGCGGTTGGGAAAAGCGAGTGTTCCAGGAATAGTCCCCAACATTCAGAGCCAGACGTGGGAACTCTTGCTGAGCGAGTCTGATTGGCTTTACATATTGTTTACATGAGAATGATACAAGTAATTTTAGTTTGTGTTTGTCTAGGTTAACCCCTTAAGGACGGAGCCAAATGTACACGTTGTGAACAAAACAAAATGTAAACAAAACCTGGCATTTGCGCTACATGTCTGTCCAACCGTAATTCACCTCTTTCATAGTAAATGCACCCACCCTTATTATATATCATTTTATTCAGGGGAAACAGGGCTTTCATTTAATATCAAATATTTAGCTATGAAACATAATTTAATATGAAAAAAATGGGAGAAAATACGATTTTATTGGATTTTTTTAGTTCTACATGACATTTTAACGGTCAGTGTCATAATACTGTTTGCTTTTACTGCAATAAAATACACATATTTGTATTCAGCAAAGTCTCACGTGTAAAACAGTACCCCCTATGTACAGGTTTTATGGCGTTTTGGGAAGTTACAGGGTCAAATATAGCACGTTACATTTGAAATTGAAATTCGCCAGATTGGTTACGTTGCCTTTGAGACTGTATAGTAGCCCGGGAATGAAATTTACACCCATAATGGCATACCATTTGCAATAGTAGACAACCCAAGGTATTGCAAATGGGGTATGTCCAGTCTTTTTTAGTAGCCATTTGGTCACAAACACTGGCCAAAGTTAGCGTTAGTATTTGTTTGTGTGTGAAAAATGCAAAAAACGCCAATTTTGGCCAGTGTTTGTGACTAAGTGGCTACTAAAAAAGACTGGACATACCCCGTTTGCAATACCTTGGGTTGTCTACTATTGCAAATGGTATGCCATCATAGGGGTAATTTTCATTCTTGGGCTACCATAGGGTCTCAAAGGCAACGTAACCAATCTGGCGAATTTTAATGTGAAAAAAATGAAACACAAGCCTTATATTTGACGCTGTAACTTTTGAAAACACCATAAAACCTGTACATGAGGGGTACTGTTGTACTCGGGAGACTTCGCTGAACACAAATATTTGTGTTTCAAAACAGTAAAAAGTATCACAGCAATAATATCGTCCGTGTAAGTGCTGTTTGTGCGTGAAAAATGCAAAAAACGTCACTTTTACTGGCGATATCATCGTTGTAATACATTTTACTGTTTTGAAACACTAATATTTGTGTTCAGCGAAGTCTCCCGAGTAGAACAGTACCCCCCATGTACAGGTTTTATGGTGTCTTGGAAAGTTATAGGGTTAAATATAGTGCTAGCAAATTAAATTCCCTTTACTTTCGGCATGGGTTGTCAGGCAGGTCCCGCTAATTGTAATTAATTAAGATACCTAATTATGTAAAAATATTACATAAATATATATGTAGAATTAATATATGTATATATATACGTATGTGAATATATATGTATATATATATATATATATATAATTTTTAAAAAATATTTTTATTTATATAGGTATATATATATATATATATATATATATATATATATTGTATAAATATATATATTATTTCGTTCTATGTGTATTTTGATATATATATATATATATATTAATTTCACAATACAGTTAGAACGAAATAACACACATCTATATATTTTTAATTATTTATTTTTAATTATTTTTGTAATTTTATTTTTAACGTATTTACATTTTAATTTTTTTTATAATATATATAAATATATATATAACAATAATTATATATATATTTAATCAGTATCAGTGTACGTGTAATTTGATATTATATATATATATATAATTATATATATATTATAGTAAAATACACCTAGACGGTGTACATGTGTGTATGTATATGTGTATATATATACTTTGATCATATATATATATAATATATATATATGATCTAAGTATATATTATTTATTTTTTTACACTATTTATTTATTTATTTTTATTTTCAGCCAGCAGGGGGACCACCTGTCATTACAGGCAGCCCCCCTGCTGGCAATACAGAAGCCAGCTATCCCCGGCCATGTGATTGTGGGGTCCTCGCTAGGACCCCACTCTCACACGGCCGGGGGGCTTCCTGGAGGACGGTCGTGCCGCGGGGGGCTCCCTGGGAGTCCCCCCCACCGCGATCGCCGGCGTGGGACCGCCGGCGACCGGGTAAGTACAGAAAGACCGGAGGGCGTACTATTACGCCCGGCGGCGTTTAGAGCCGCCTATTAGAGGACGTAATAGTACGCCCTCCGGTCTTAAGGGGTTAAACTCTCTTTTTTTCCAACCCACATAAACTTAAACCTTGTTTATTTGGCCTGGTGTTAGCCTTTAAATTTGACATGCTTTCTCTACAGGAATGCATGTCTTTCAGTCTAGTTAGCTGTTGTCTTTTAAACGGTGTTGCAGTATTTTCAAAGCAACTGTTCAGGTCTGTCTGGTGACCAATCGTTTTATAACCATTTCCCAGTGACCGGGCGCTATCTCAAAAGCTAATTACAGTTACCGCATCCATCATCATGTACTGTTTATGGTTTTTATATCACACGCAACTTTTACATAACTCAAAACAGATTTGTTTTGTTGTCATTCCTTGTTAATGCCTACATTTATAAAGGAGTCAGTATTGAGTGACTGCCTAGCTGAGTTATTTGGACGATGGTAGAACTTACTGCCAGATCTTTTAGCAATCAGTTACCTCTCATGGCACTTGTAAAATCCCTG